GGGCAATAGTACAACCAAGCAAATGCAAATAAAAAGAGAGCAGGTGTCACAATCAAACAGGGTTGAATCCAGGTCAAAATCATTAAGCAAGTCAAAGGAACACACTTTGAATGATAAAGGGTCCATTTCTCAATGAAGATATAACAGTTATGAATATGCAACAAAGGAAATAGCATCAATATTCAAAAAACAAAAATGGTAAAGAGTTACAATGACAATAGTAGTAGATTACCGTTTATGACAGTTGAAATGAAAAGAAGTAAAACATATAACTTAAATATTGCAACTAATAGGCAAATATTGTTATAGCTTCTACCTTGAAAATAGAACAGACTTCCTTTTCAGGGACCCATTGAACATTCAATAAAGCTGACTGTACACTAGGCCATAAACACAGTAAACGTCAAACACTTATATATAAGTGCTTACTCTGCACCAGCCACTCGTCAAAGCACTTCACATACATTAACTTACTTAATCCCAACAACTTCAAAAAGTGTGTATATTATTATTCCCATTTAGCAAACTAAGGCTTCGAATGCTGAAGGTGCTTGCATTCAAGTTACAGATCGGAAGCAGGAGTCGCAAAAGTAGAACCGATGCAGATGTTTCTAATCACAATGTCATAAAAGTAGAAGTTAATAAAACCAGAAAACGAAGACCCCCTACCACCCAAACATTAAAAAAAGAAGAGAAAACCAATTAACCAACCAATCAAGAAAACCCAAACAAATAGCAGACAAAAACCCTCTTTATTTTTGGACAAAAGAGAAAATCCAAGCTGTAGCCAAACTGGATTAGATATAAAACTCAGAGGACAAGTTAAGGTCTTAAATCCTTATATTAATAAACAGGGGGAAAAAAGAGTGACTTAAGTATCTTATCAAGAAGTAATAAAAAGAACATTGAAATAAACATAAGGACTACTAATAAAGTAAAACTAATAAACTCAGAAATGAATGAATTTAAAACTAGAAAAAGGGTATATAACTAAAGAAGTGAAGGAGCTGGTACTTTGAAAAAAGAAATAGAGAAAACTTTATCTAATGAATCAAGGTGAGGAAAAGAACACATATATACAGATAATCATAGTTCTTGGATAAAGTCATAGAAATGCAAGTACTGGGTCAAAGAGTCTATACATTTGTGTTTTGACAGGTATTACTGAGTTGCCCTATACAGAGGTGTTTCCAATTCCAGTCTCCACCAGCAATGAATGGAAGTGATTGTTTCCGCATAGCACAGCAGCACAGTATTACCACTTTTTTTTTTGCATTTGTCTACATGATAGACAATGAAAAATATCGATAATGTCCCATATAGGTGTTTAATGTCTATATTTTGTGGGTGCAATCTTTGCTGGAAGTGGAATCAGTGTTCTGTTTGGGTCATGAAAAGACCTTGGGAGCTTTTCTCCTGCTATTCTATAATGTACCACATTAAATAATATTAAACCTATTGTTCTGTAAAGGCTTGGTAGAATTTCCCTGTTACACTGTCTGGTCCTAGTCATTTTTCCCCCCCTTTTCTTTGGAGTGAGGGGCTAGCTCTTTGGTGGCAGCGTTCTTGGTTTCTTCTATTCCAATTGGCCTGGATTTTCTGTTGTTTCTGAAATCAGTTTTGTTATACTTGTTATATTTTTTTCTAGGATAAACCATCACTGTGATTTACAGTGGTTTTACCACAACGTGTCATCCATAATTTTGTTTGCCATTTTATGTAATGGACATCTGGTGGATTGCCTGACAGGCCTGTTACCCTTTCTTGGAACAGCGTCCTGCCCTCCACCCCCAACCCCATCTACCTCATCACAGGCTCCTGGTAGCCATACTTTCTTCACAGTTGTTTGACCTGGGGGTGAGCACCTGACCCAAACTAGGCCAATCAGAGAATCTTCTCTACAATTTTGGAACTGGGTGTAAAAATGTCCTAATTTAGTCTGGTCTCTCCAACAAAGATGTAAAAAAACAAACAAACAAATACAAAAAACTGGGGGAAGTATAACAAGGCCATATTTTATTAATAAATCAGAGAGAGGGGAGCAGAATGAAAGAGATCTGAAAGAGCAGAAGTGAGACAGAAAATATTGCCTGGAGTCTGTGTAGCTTTCCTAGTCTCTAATTCTGGTTCCATCTTCTTGGAGCCTAATTGCATTTCTTCCCTTGGGTTCTAGGAGATATTCCAGCACCTGCTTTATAACACTAATATCTTAGGTAATCCAATATCTGAAAGATATTGTTTTAAAGACTTTGTTTTGAACAGGAATTGACTTCGACCTCTTCCCAGCCTCCTCAAAGGCCTTCACTACTCAACAAAAGTGCTTTTCCAATTTGCACAGACACGCATAGGTAGACATGCTCTACCCCTAGAAAGTCCCTAGCTACTAAGTTAATTTTTCCCGCCTATTCAGTCTCCAACTAGTAAGGTGGCTGTCCTTTCAAATTGTTGGCTGCAACCAGTTAGAGGATTTTGAAATCAATTTTGAGGATCACGAATAGTGTTAAAAAAAAAAAAAAGAAACAGACCACAACAGAATTCACTATCAGAGTGCACCATACTAATCCTTCCAGGGCTAGAGTCGGGGAGCGACAGGTGATACATGCACTGGGTTAATTTGTTGGACGGATAACAGCCTAGTTTCAGTATTTATGAATATGGTGCATTTATTTTTGGTGACAAAGCAGTTGATAAATTAAGAGCTATAACTCTTGCCAATAACACAATATCAACTCTATTACCACAGAATATTTTGAAGAATTAGTGATTATGCAGTCACAGTGTAACTTGATGAGAATACTAATATTGCAAGTTGTATAACACTTTTATGTGATATGTGCAGAAAGTCAGTTTTACAGAGGATTTATCTGTGTGAAGAAAATTATATTCAGAAATAGAAAACAGCATTTGGGTCAATAAAAATTAAACTATACAATTTATACTGGAATTGCAAGTGACAACAAGAAATATGATCAAGAAACATAGTCTAAATAAAAAGTTTTTTAGAAACCAATAAAAACAGAAGATAATTTGACACATTAAAAACAAAAAATTGTATATAAGGATCATTTGGTTTCAAAACCATAAATATTTAAATTACACTTGTTCTATGAAAATAAATTATTGCAACTTAGTACTTCACTTACACAGAAAAATGATTGCCAAACATGAAATTTATCATCATGCTGCATTACAATTAAAGAATTATTGTTAAGAAAAAGTAGATTCACATTACTACTACTCACAACTGCCTATGTATGTGAACTAGGATCTTCAATTTTGGCCTATTTGAAAATAAAGGATAAGATCAGGCTCAATAGTAGACCAGATGTGCACGTAGCATTGTCCTCATGAATACTGGAATAAACTGATGAACAGGCAAGGCATTATATAAAATTTTTACTAATTTGCTTCAGTACTGTTTATAATATTTATTTCCATATTGTATTATAAAATGTTTATATTACCTTTTGTTGTTTTTACTGTATTCTACACGATCAAGTGTTGTGAAACTTGTATTTCAGATATGTGTGTGTATACATATATGTGTGTACCCTGGGTTACAGTGTAAAATCTTTACTGTGGGTTGTGGTTCAAAGAGTTGGAGAAACAGTCAAGGCGTTTGAAGTTAGAAGAGAAATAGGATTAGTAACGCACCTGCAGAACGATCTGGCCCACAGAACATCCGTTTGCTCTCTGAGCTGCACTGTGGAGAACACGGAATATGAGTTAAGTATAGAATTGACTTTGCAGGTTAAGTTCCAGCCTAAACAGAATGAGACAAAGTAAAGCAGTGTTTTAGAAGCATTAATATAGCCTCATTGCAAGACTGTCAGGAAGAGACTGAAGACAAGAGGTGACTAAAGTGCTAACACAATCCAGAAATGAGACAATCAAGAGGAGCAATGGGAAAGAGGGTGCTGGAAGTCACGCAAGAGTGCCAAGGAAAAACGGTAGCCTGTTAAAGCTGAGAGGGACCTCTGGAACTATCGAGTCCATCACCATCTGCTTACAAATAGGAGAAGTCATAGTAGAGCAAAAAACGGAACCTACTCGGAATTTGTCTATGACGTCACACTGACTCAAAGAGTCGTCAGTAGGTGATAGAATTTTAACCCGATCAATGGAATTAACAGGACGGAATTTCTTCAGGACGTGGAGGGTGTGCACTCAACTCTACTTCCTACTGAGTGTTTTGAAATGGACAGTAATTGTCATCCATTTAATATGAATTCCAATTAGTTGAATCAAGGTGTTGCCTACAAGGCGTGCCCAATCCAGGTTTCTCTCCGACCCCGCCATGGGTCATTGAGCATTCAACTTTCAGAGCATACGTACCCTAAAATACCAAACCCTCGAGAAGTTTCCTATTAATTTCAACAGCTTAGGCTTTATAAACGAGCCCAGAACTGTTCACTTGCGTGTTCAATTTCCCAACCGCAAAATGTTATTGAGCTTTTTACGAAGGTGCCACGCAATCCCCACCACAGCCAGGCGAGAAAAACAGGAGTCGGTCTAGGAAGCCGGTCTAGGAAAGGGGGGGCCTGTGGGAGTCAGTGTTGCGCTCTGCGGAAGGAAGCCGCAGGGCGAGTCCGGCTGGAGTTAGCCATTTCCTTTCTCTCCTCGATATTTAGGGCTGCGGTGGCGCTGGGCGGGCAGGTACATCGGCTTGTCTTCGCGTCCCTCGACCCCTTCTCCGAATCCGCCTTGAATAACCGGCTGACAATTCCGACTCTCGAGTGCCGAGAGCTGGAGGCATGTGCCGGGAGGTACCCGGCGCCATGACTAGGTCGGCCTCAGGCACATCCCGACGCTCGCCCTTGGCAAGCCGCCCCAAGAACGCCTCCGGGTTCCGGGTGCGAAGAGGAAGCTTCAGGGGAACCCCTAGACCCCTCCCTTTTAGGAAGGGCGCAGACGGCGTCTCCGTTTCCAAGGAAACCGGCCCTGCCATGATGTCACTTCCGCTGACCTGTCTGGCCTCCCAGACTGTTGGGAGGAAAAGAGGAAAACTGAGCCACAGCCACGACGGTGGACGCGAGCGTCTCCTGTCTGCGCATGCGCCCGCTCGGCGGCTAGCTTCTATTTATGTGGGGGATCCAACATGGCGGCTGCGGCGACCCTGGCGATGGCGGTGGAGCCCATCAGAACATAGTGGCGGGGAAGGGGGCACGGTCCGCACTCACGGTGGCGTCGGCGGAGACGGCTGAGGGTGGTGGAGGGCAGAAAAGCGAAGGAGAGCGAAAGGAAGGGCGGGCAGGCAAACAACTCGGCGTAGAACCGAGCGCCGGCTCGAGCGAGGGCAGAGGGCCAGAACAGTGGGGATGGCGGAGCCGCGCAGAGTAGCGTTTATTAGCCTGTCACCGGTGAGGCGGCGCGAGGCCGAGTACCCGGGAGCTGAACGCGAGCCCGAGTACCCTCGCGAGCCCCCCCGTCTGGAGCCGCAACCGCACCGTGAGCCGGCCCGGTCGGAGCAATCGGCCCCACGGGAGGCTGCCCCCCGGTCGGACGCGCAGCCCCCGCCGCGCGAGAAGCCGCTCCCCCAGCGCGAGGTCAGCCGCGCCGAACCGCCCATGTCGCTACAGCGCGAGCCTCCGCGGCCCGAGCCGCCGCCGCCGCCGCCGCCGCCGCTCCCGCAGCTGCACTTGCAGCCGCCTCCGCCGCGGGAGTCAGCTTCCCGGGCCGAACCGCCGCAGAAGCCGCCGAGGGAGACGGTGCGCCTGGAGCTGGTGCTCAAGGATCCCACCGACGAGAGCTGCGTGGAGTTCAGTTACCCGGAGCTGCTGCTGTGCGGAGAACAACGGGTACAGAAGGTTCCTCCCTCATCCCCCAGACCCTGGGAGCCTCAGGAGCCGTCCGCCTCCCTCAGTGGTTTGCACCATCCGACGCCTACCCTGCGCTCGGGTCGCCCCGGAGGGTGGGCTGGAGGGGGCAGGGGTTGAGTGGGGGGACGGGTGGATGGTGCTGCTTCCCTCTGCTCCCCAGGGTTGGCCGAAGCTCCCACCCGGATCCACCAACCTCCCCCCCCCCTCCCGTAAGCTCCAGTAGCTGCTCCGAGCAGGTTTTCCTTTGCACCTTTCGAAACCTCAGATTTTCCTCCTTTTTTGCTTCCCACACAAAATCTGGGGGCCCTGCAAGTTGCGTGGTTGGGTTTTCCGTGTGGAACTCCAGCTGTCCTTTCCAGCAGGGAGGAAGAGAAAACCTCGGGGGACACGCCCCCCAATCTGAAGCGGGGCGATTGTGGAACCCCTCCAGTATCCTCATCTTCATCACTGTTTGTTATGCTTGGCGTTGTGGCTGCTGAGATGCGCTTGTGAGCGTGGAGTATTCTTAATTGAAGGGGATTTAAAAGTAATGGAAACATTTTCAGACTAAGAATTCCACTTTAGGAATGAAGCTGAAGTGTTAGTTATCTGGTTACATATTTTTCTCCCGCGTGTTGATAGTGGTGAACCTTTTTAGCTTTGTTTTCTCTGGAGTTTGTTCAGATTGTATTTGAATGGGAAGGTGACTCCTGTTTCATTTGGCGCCTACTATCATATTCTTATTTGAGTGCATATTATTAGTTTATAGGTCCGAGTCGGGGATGTTGCACTTGGCCATTGTAATGTTTGGAAAATGATGAAAAAAAATCTCAGCTTTGAATTTTTAAAAACTTTATTGAAAAGATATAGGTATGCCTTTGATAGAACTGGTGAACAATGAAAATAGAGAGGTTTGTTGGGTTGGTCATCTTCAGAAGTGAACTAAAAAGGGAAATGATAGAGAAGTAATAAGAGAACAATTTCCTCCATTGTTTAGAGGTTATGCTCTTTATTAGGTTTTGCTTTTTAGTACAGGTCTAATGGACTCCAGAAATCACTTGTTTTGTTTTTATCCTTGATTATCTCTGTAGTTGAAATGAATGATTTCTAGTTTAAAAATATATTAAACAATGTCACTAGATTTTGTTTATTGCAAACTAATGTTTTGATCATTATTTACAAATACTGTTGTGTGTCAAATCGTTACTAAATGATTTCAGCCAAAGTGAATTAAGGGTAGAGATCATTTTGGTCACTTCTACTTAACATTTTGCCCTTTAGTACCCTATTATTTATAAATATGATGTCATTTTTTTTCCCCAAAAGAATTTTGAAAATGCTGGATTGGAGCATTTTAAAAATAAATTGTATATGATTTTCTAATCTAAGTAGGTTTGCAGTTTTACTCCCTGATCTATTTCATAAATTGCAGGTAAAAGGCATATTTGAATAAAAATACATAACAATAGCTAACGTTTACTGAGTTCTCAGAATGTGCTCGGACAGACGCAGCTCTGAGTATGGTATATGGTTTATCGAGTTTAGTGCAGCCTAGCTCCATGAGATAAGGAATGAGGACCATTATCCCCACTTTACACATGAGGAGACTAACACAGAGTGGTTACATGTAATTTTATTAATACTTGTATACATACTATCACCAATTCTTAGTGAAAGAATTCTATTAGTTAACTCATGTAGCTTAAATGTGCAGGATCCTGCCAAAGTGAACTAAAAGTTATAGTAGAAATACAAAGACCTCTATTATGACTCTTTATGCTGTAATATTCGTGCATTGATCAACTAGCAATGGATATGTATCTTTTAATTATAAAAAAATTAATTTTGACACCTTACCTTGTTAACTTGATAACATCAGAATTACTAGTGTCATGTAATAGGAGAAACATGAATAATTCTGTTTAATGTTTCAGTTTAACTACCAATGTAGGGGTTTATTAGTTCAATTTTCCCATTGTATATTTAGCCATATATCAATTGACATTCCATGAAACAAAAAAATCATTTTTTATACAGCGCATTTTTGCAACAAAGATTTGCCAGTTTTTCCTATGATTACTCCCAATGAACATATTCATTACATAAGTATAGAAGACACCTTTCTAAATAAAGTTGTCATAGATCCACAAAAGGAAATGCTAGGAAGAGAGACCATCAAAAAGCAAAATGTGGCTATTAGAATTGGTCTGGAAAGTGGCTATTCCCAAATTTGTTTCTTTTCCCCTCAGGGGAAGTCCAAATATTTTTAGAGATGTTATCATATTTTCAAAATAGCTTTAATTTGGGGTTATTGTAATTGAACAGCACACCATATAGGGGAAGACTAGAAAGGGAAGGAAAAGAGATCTTGTGAAATTAAGAGAAAAACGTTCTAAAAATTTGAAATAGCCATCTATCACTGAATAAGAAGATTTTTAGTTCCAGATCCTTAAGTTGATAGGTGTAGGTATAAAAAATCTGTTACATGTGAACACCATCTATATTGGAGTGCATTTAAATCATCCCCTTTTATAAATGAAATAAATATAGTAAAACCCTGATCAACTGAATGCAATCAGAATTTTTTCTGTACTCTGTATTAATGAGAAAAAGCACATTTAAATGAGCATATGTTGGCAAAATATGAAACTTAAAACCTCCTTCCAGGTTGTCAGGACACAGGCTAGCTAAACCTTTAACCTTTGTTACCTCTGTAGAGTATTGAGAGCCCTGATAGAGGTGGTTCAATGATTCAGGATGATGACTGCGGCACTGTAGTCATCTCTATCCTGAAAGATTAATTTGTTCACCTTTTCTGGCTAAAGGGAAATAGTAGTTTAGAAATACATTTCAGCAGTAATTTATATACAAGAAATTGTTTTTTTAACTGTTAGTAAACTAGAAAAATCACTTAAACAGAACATACATTTGTGAACATGATTAATTGAACGTTTACTACAAAAGGAAAAATAAAAGATAATAGTGTAAATGTTATTATACTGTTACAGAATTCTGTGTTATTCCATTACTTATCATATTACCTATTTTGGGTAACATGTGTGGGAAAGATCTGAAAATGGTGTTAATGAGTTAATGTCAAAAAACAAAATTATTGTGTCAATTTTGCATGGTGACAGTTGATAAACTTGATATTTATAATAATTTTCAGATCCCTTTTTCACCTGAAAAGCATACAGCTTACTTAGAGCCTTGATTATGGGTACGGAGTTATTTCTTAATTATGAAAGAAAAGTGAGCCAGCTATCGTAAATTTTATTTTTATAGATTGTCGAGTAAGACATTTACTTTTGATGGCTATATGAAGTCTACATAAAATATTTTAGAATGACATATAAGGTGATTCTTATTTAAAAATGTATCTCCATGTGTTTATATTTGCACGTATAAGTAAGACCTAATATTTCAACCTCACAGTGACATGAGGAACAGTTTATAATGGCAAGGCATGGTGGTTACTCACTGTCCTTAACTTTAATCTCAAGTTAAGGCTATATTCTGAACATGCCTAGTATTTATTTCATTATCAGTCTGTACCTGCTAGTTTATTTCCTTTTACATCATGTTTATATTTTCCTTTGGTAACTCCTGTTTGGATAAAGGAGTCTGTAAATTTATTATCTATTACAGTAACTTTTAAAATTGATTCAAAAATTATTTTCTTTAGTCTTTAAGGAGTTTTCCTTTATTCTAATGCCCTAGGTATGATGAATTGTTTTGTATTCATTCTGTCCATATTTTTCTGTCATAATCTTTAGACTGATCATATCTTAGCCTTTGTATCCAGGGGAAAGTGTCTTAATTCCAAAGTGTGCAAATATTTGTCTTTTCTGCGTTCTTTTTCTTGCCCTTCAGGGTCAACGAAATCTGTACGCAGTATTTCAGTTGTAATATACTTGCATTTTTAATTACTTGAAGATGCTATTTCAGTAAAAACATCTAGCCTTCCTTTAAAAAAAAAAGAATTAACTTTCTAGTCAATTGTTTTGTGTCTTCTTGTTTTGGCTTTTTTGTATATTGGAAAACCATATATATGAAATGTGTCTGCTAAAGTAGTAAACTTGAGTAAAGGATGTGATTTATCTTTTTGTTTGTTTTGGTAAGTAGATGCTAAATGTGGGATCCTAGCTCTGTGTGTGTGTGTGTGTGTGTGTATTTTTAAAACATGTATTATAAGAAACTGGTGTGTGTGTGTGTGTGTGTGTGTGTGTGTGTGTGTGTGTGTATTTTTAAAACATGTATTATAAGAAACTGGCACTCTCCCCTGCTAGAAGTAAGCCATGTAATGTAATCTATTTGCAGCAATGTCACTTCTCTAGCTTTGTTTGAAAGTAGAACGTATTCCCAGAATGGATATCCATCGACAGATGCAGGTACTGTGGAGGCTGGATGCTGCTGGGCCTCAGCAGAACGCTATAGCAGCCACAGATACTCTAGTGATAACTCAGGGCAGATAGATGATGAAATGCCGACTCTAAATTAATAACCTAGAGATCGCTTTGGAAGCGTTTCCTGACCAAAGCGGGTAATCTTTGTTGGGAAGAACTCAAAACTAGAGTTGTAAGTGGAATTTTTATTTTTACCTAATTTTCTTGGGTTTTTTTTTTTTTGCCTTATTTTGGATGGGGTGACCATACGATCATTTTACAGGTGGATGCAGTTTGAACTGTAGAATGTATAAGAATCCATTAAAATGGTAAATTTTGTTTTTTAGTACAAACCAACATTTCTTTCTCGTTTTAGTGCTTCTAACTTACTTGTTAATATTTGGAAAAATTGACTCTTACTAAATTTAAGGCTACATTCAACTCTGGTTGAAGTAATATTAATACTTCAATTTCTTTCCCTGTTCACTTAGAATCTGAAGAAGCCCGTTCCCACTGAAGACCCATTTAATGATGAGCGTCACGAGAGGCAAGAAGTAGAAATGTTGGCTAAGAAGTTCGAAATGAAATATGTGAGTATACTAAAGTGTTCGTTAAGGTAACTTTATTCTATTGGCCTGTTTTCTTTCTGTGATTGAATGGATACTTCCAATCTCCTGTGGAATCACATTTCTCTGCAATACATGGAATAGCTTTTCTACCCTTTGAAGGATAGCAGTGGATGAGAGGCAGTAGTGGCCATGTCTTCTTATGGGAGGAGCAAAGGATTTATGAGTTAACACATACTGGATTCTGATTCTTTCTTTGCCATATTAAGTAGGGTCACTTTGTGGAGATTATTGGCTTTTTTATGTTTTGGTACCTGTGACCGGAAAATAAGATCTGCCCAGCCAACTTTGTAGCATGAGGATTTTATTAACATCAGATGAAAAAATATATGGTTAGTGTTTGAAATATTGTAAGTGCTATCTAAATGTGAAATACTGTTTAGTCACTTAAACACATCACTCTTGCAGAGAACTATGTTTTATTCTGTACCTGTCATAACTTCTTTTTAGCAACATCTATGGGATTTTACCTTGTTAAATGACTACCGCACTGATTTTGATCGTTTAGTTCAGGCATTCTGTTCTAAGTGTCTTTACCCTTGGTCCTTCAGTCACTTTTTACTGATTCTTCTTAACTGTCGTGGTTGTCTTAAAGACCACAATAAATTACTTGCAACCTTTTAAGAAAATCAGCAGGCCAAAAATGACCTGGGAGAAGATACCTGGTCCAGTGCTAGGCTCTCACAAAAGATCACTCGTAAACAATGAACGAAGATCTTTGTTGGCCTGCAGTTTACTGTCCTATAGTTCAGGAGTAGCAGATTCAGATGTCCCCAAGATGTTTGCTGCTCAATCAGTGAAGCAGGCCAGATGGACAATAAATGTGGGCGATTGTCCCAAATGGGACAGCACGTGCCCTATCTAAAGGGGCCAGCTCTAGCCCTTTGTTCCTCTGCAGGAACTTGGGCGTAAGTTACTCTGTCTTTTTCTTCTGAATACTGGTTTCTAATTACAACACCTAGTGAGCCAAACAAAACACATCGAGGGACCAAATTCAGTTCCCAAGCTCTTGTTTGAGGCCTTGGTGTACTTGCTTCGCTGTTTATCTCCTAATATATTTAACGTATCAGTCCATCTACTTTTACATTTTGCCCTTTGCAGAGTGGTTGGTGGTACGTGTGGGAGGAGATGCCACTTCCATTGTGGAGGAGAATGTGTTTGTAGGCCATTTCAGAGAAGTGAGCAAGTTAAATTCAGTTAGGGGTTTCCAGATTTGGGCAAAGATAAGGTACATTGAGATGTGGCTGGATCTGTGAGTGATGTTAGTGATGAATTCTGTGGTTGGTGAAGGCCTGAGTGGCAAGCGTATGGGCTTTTTGTGGTCTTTCATATGTGTAGTGTTGCTTGTACTGGAGGGGAATTGCTAGAAGTGGAGCAGGCTGCCACTTGTGGGAGAAGGGAAGGATGGCCGTGGAGCATAGGATGTGTCCCTCTCTTGTAGCGGTTGCTCAGGGTGGAAGGACTGAGACAGATATGGTAGCTGAAAAGCAGTGATAACAGAATTAAAAGGAGTATAACATGTGTTTTGTTCCCCTATTCTGTCTTGTTTTTATTGCCTATGTCCTATTTCCCGTTGTGTTACTCTTTAGGTAATGTGACTACATATTCAGAATCAATTGCTAAACGTTTTGGTTTTTTTTGGGGGGGTTGCAGGGGGGAGTACATTATGACCTAGTGTATACTAAATTAGTTGTTGTACAGAAAACTTACTAAATAGCCGAGTCCAAGTTTTGACATCTCTACTACTCTATAGACTCCAAATTTGTCTTGGTTACTGTAGGAAAGAAGCAAGATACAGTTTAAAACAGGCCCTCATTCCTTTCCTTGTTTGTGGTTGTAAGGCTCCAAATATTTAGGCTAAATAGCCTAGTTTCCAACACCGTTTTTAGATGGCTCCTAGGTTGTATATGCTTTTTCTGAGGCCATAAACTAGAGCAGAGAATGAGGTTGGGTTTGATGGGTATAGATTTGTTCTTGAAGCTGTTTAGGGCATAGGATAGCCTGTAAGGTTTGGAAGATTTCTTTTTTTTTTAAAGGTTTTATTGAGGAATTGGGGGAGGGGAATAGTACTGGGGAATCAGGGAACAGGAACAGACAAGTTGCTGTCCTTTTGTTCTTCAGTCTAGTTGTGGAGGACGTTGCTTCACTGGCCCCATGTTGGTATTATCATTGGGCTCTTCCCGGGTGAGGCAGATCGGTCGCCACTCACGGCGGCTCTTGGCAACTCACACCGGCTGTCAGTCACTCACGCTGGCTGCCGGCCACACACGATAGCTTATGGCAGCCCACTGCAGCAGCCTATACTGTCGCCGGCAACTCACAGCAGCCCAGCTCCAGGTTGAGCTGTTGTTCACCATCTTAGCTGTAAGAGGGCAGTGTCACTGGCCCTCATGTGGGATCCGAACCGGGGCCCTGCTGCTCAGAGTTGGTGTCCCAAGCCAGCTCTTAACCAACGCGCCACTTGGCCGGCCCTGGAAGATTTCTTTTAGTGGTTTTTTTCCCCCTCATTCTGTTACCCAGCCATCTTGAAAGATCATGCTATCCTAGAGTTGGATATGAATTCAGTAATCTAATGAAAGTACTTAGCACGATACCTGGTACCTAGCAGAGGCTCAGTTAAGACTATTTGAATCTGATTGACTGAATAGGTAGACACATATTCTATCAGGCATTTATTAGCATTTATGAAATCACATTCTGACTTAAAACCTACTTACTATGCTATGTAGACTTTGGATATCACCTTTGATGCTTAATTCTGGGTGATTTTGGACTCTCAAAGCATAGTAGCTTTGTATTTATTTTAAAGGGAAGGATAAGGGTAGCTTTAATATTATGAAAGTAATTCTGAGTAGTCTTCTAAATAAAACAGTTGATCAAATGGAATTAAAATGGTTTTTATTCAAAAGGTACATTCATAAAAAGTCAATTTTAAAATTGATTTTGTCCAGGTAGGTTTTAAAGAATGGCAGTATCTTAGAATAACTGTATAATTTCCAATAAGGGATTTCTTCACAGTAATTACTACTCAATTAAGTGGAAAGCATATGTATTTTTATACTTAAAATAATTATAGATTGTTTAAAAACTCCTCAAATATGGGGCTGACACAAATGGATGTTAGAAAGCATTTATGCACTGTTTCTGGGAGTTTTAAGAATTCTCAGTTACTCGTATTATTAATTGATATTCCACACTTGCTGAGGGGTTAGCACTTTTTTGGGAACTTCCTTGGCTGGTTTTCCTGTTTGTTTTGGCCTTTTGTTGGGTTTGATCCCTAAAGATCAACTTGGTAGGACTTTGGGTAAAGCAATTTGGGCAAACTTGTTACCACCATCATCAAATAAATTCTACTTACAAAGCACAAATAACAGTGTATTTAGGTTCTAAAGACCAACAATAGTATGACATTACCTATACAGTAAAAACATAAAATACTAACATTTTACAGCAAACTGAAGGGGGATCTTAAAAAGGTCAAGAGAATTCTCAATTCAAAAAATATTGATTGCAGTTGTGGATTGTAATCGCTTGCCATGACATGCCCTTTTAATTCCTTGGCCTCTTTGAGCTGAATATTTTCTTTAGCTTCCTGAAATCCCTCAGGAACAATAGAGACTCAGCAGTTTTAGGGTATTTGGGAGGAAGACCCTCTATCCGTAAGTGCTGATTATAGATACCTGGGTATATTATTTCTGTGCTGTGAAGTTAGCTCTTGAATGTCTTTCTCCTGACTTAAATCTCTACCCTTTCCTATTGTAGGTGAAGAAAATCAGCAGAGGTAGAGACAGATTGCGTTGTGATAGGGCTGGGACAAATAGGGAAGCTTTATGACCAGGGGACATTTTCTTCTCAATTATAAGACTGGAGTCTTAGCAACTAGTGTCATGCTTGCTCTGTCTTCCAGATGGGAGATCAATGAATGTTGGTTATTAATTAGATTTCTTACTTCCCGGAGGCAATAGGGGGCCCTGTAGTAGGAACATCTTGTTTGTTTGTATGTTTTCCAGCTTAGTGATACAGCGCACTCAGACTGCATTGGCTTGAAACACTGATTATCAAGTTAAGCAGGTAGTAATGACTCAGGACGTAATTTTCTTCTGAGTCATAGTGAACTAATACCTAGGGAATAAGCTTATAAAGGGGTTTCTTCATTTTCGATGTAGCAAAATTCAAGGGTTTTTTGAATTTGGAAAATATAGTTTGTGTCTTTTAAGATGTATTTATTGTGTAAACTTAACATCAATAACTGCAAAGGTCGAGAGAATGTATCAAGTAAGACTGATTAAGCTTCAGGGAGCATTCTTGCTAAGGATGCTGAAAAAGAGAGCAGTTCAAAATAAGCCTAGTATAGAAGACACTATAAAATAACCCTTTGTCTGTCTATCCTTAGCTCCTTTGGTAAAATTTTAATGTTTGTGAATTAACTGGTTTGTGCCTTTTTGGCAACTGTCAAAAGTTTGGTTCCAGTTTATACCATTCGCATGTCACTGACTTTTAGCAGAATTGGGGAACTAGAGGACTGGCGGTTAGAGAATAGAAGTGGGGGAGGTAAAACAGGGGAGGAGGGTGTCAGGCAGGAGGCAGGCCAGGGGAGAAGTTTTTCCAGTAAGGCCAGAAAGCGAGGAAAAGTAAACTGAGGCAAGAAAACTGCACTCTGATGGCTTCTGTGATGAAGACCTGACAATAAATGCTTTGGCAGAAAGCCATTGATGGGTAGAGCGAAGACTGTGTAATGTTCCCTTCAGGGGGAGAGGGGTTTAAGAAAGAGCCAATCAGGCTTGGGTGTGCCCAGTACAGGTTATCCAAAGCTCTGTCCCACAGTGGGACGGGGCCGGTAACTGAGCGCTCTGGAGCATTTGGTGGACCAGACCCAAGAAAATAAAAGTTCTTGAGTGGGTCATACATGTACTTAATAAAAATTCAAGATACAAAAGGTAATACGATGAAAAGTAAATCTTCCT